CCAAGTGTAAATTAAATCAGATGAACACTACTAACTGCCCCCTGTCAACTGACAGCAGTCAGCTGACCCTCTACAAAGGAAACAAAGAAAGAAGGAAGAGTCATTACATCGCTGTAGCGCGTGAACATTCATTGGTGCCACACTTGACAGCTCTCCGCACAGTTACATAGCATTGTGGTGAACTTTCAGACCACTGTTTCATCTCTCCGCTTCCAGTTTCACAGATTATCAATCTCGGTGATGGAGGCACTAGCAGTGTGTTGTTATTAAGTTAATGTATGTAAAAGATGACTCAAATCCTCAAATGTCTTCTTTTGTTCAGAATTCAAAGATACTCAGTTGACAGTCATAGAAGTATAAAGAAACCAGGAAATATTACATTTGAGAATCTGGAATCAGATAATTTTGAATTTTTTATTTTCAAAAAATGACTCAAAATGATTATTCGTTCATCCAAACAGTTGGTTATTAATTCAAATCAAATTGTTGCAGCTCTGACATGTCATGTAAAATGTAAACCAAGGAGAAAGTCCATTTTGATTGATAGGGTGGCGTGACCATTGAAGATACACATTTAGTTGCAACATAGAAGAAAAAACTATTACCTAATCAAAAACAAATTAATTTTAGCCAATTTAGGTCTTTTTTTTTAATGCCTGGGATCACCTGAGTTCTTTGACATCAAAGTGGGGTCATGAACCAAAAGTGTTTTATTATGAGAACTTTAATTTACACAGACATATAATATGTATGTAATATGCATTAGACTGTGTGTAACAAATAGTCAGTTGTATATGTTCTTATTATATGTTTTTTGGTATGTTAATATAGGTGACACAGTATAACTTGATTACATGTTCTGTTGTCAGTGCTTATGTAAAGCTAACCCCACAGTCCATTTTTAAGAAATACAGCCCAATTGTTTGTTGGACAGATATGCATTTGGTGTATTTTCTCCAGTATGTTGTTGCAAAAGATGAATAAACTATTGCCAAAAATGACCATTTTTTGATTTACTTTTCCATCATGTTTAGAAACATCATGTGACAGTTTTGTGTTTTATAAAAAAGATAGCCTACTAGCAAGAGAAAATATGGGAAACAAACATAAATAAGGCATAATTATATTTGGAATTTAGTTCAATTTAACATCAAAATACATTATTTTTTAAGTGGATTACATTAATGACCTGATTTCCTTGTGATATATTTCACCCAAATCATCTATATACAGTATAATGTAGCCTATGTTTTACTTGTTGTAGATTTTTGATTTAGTTAAGATACATTTTCATAAACTTAATTACAACCCCCCCTTGGTGGAAGAACTACAAGTATCCCTTCTAACTTGTATGCTTCCTAACAATTTCAAAGGAATGATTGTAATGGGCATTGTATTTTTAAATACATTGATGTATTCCCCATGATTAGAAATTTGCAGTATTAAATTGGATGGAGGAAGTTGGGAAACACATTACAACGTTATTAATATATAAATGTAGTGCATGATACTTAGATAACCTAAATTGTCATGTTAATATCAAATTCAAGTTGTGTTCACTAGCCAGTAAGGCTATTGCTAGTTATCTACGACTGCTATCATTTATTAATCCATCCTACTGCAGGTATACTGAACTAAATGGTCTTGTTTGGAAGCCACACCATATTAAAACAAATTATATACCACATTAACACTTTATAGCGAGAAAATAGATCGAAGGATGAGGTCTGAAAGATTTGTTTTGAAACGTTGCTTAATATACGTTACGCCATTGAACACACCCCTTTCTGTCGGCAAGATAGAGCAGCAGGAAAAACGTAAAAATAGCACTAATAAATGTATATATTTATCTTTTTCATCACATATATCTATTCACAATATAAACATATATGTTATGGTCATACTTTGCCTGTTAAGAATTTGAGCGGATATATGATTTCTGAACCCTAATGTCAACATCTTAACCCTAAACCGGAAGGATACCAGAACTACAATTTATGCCGAGTTACAGTGGTTACAGTACACAGCATTGTGCTGCGTCATAGCTTTTGTAGTTCCAATGAATTATCTTTATTATGTAAAATTGTGAACACGAACTTTGCAAGCTTATTATAAGTTTTTAAGGGTGGAAAGCACACCTGTTTGGTCTGATTTTGACTTTTTTATTGGTAAGAGGGTGAAATCATGTTTTTTTTAGGTTTTGACCCTACTCAGTGGCGTCCCCTATTGGTCTGCTGTCGAGTATGATAGTAGAGGTGCAGAGCTTTCCAAAACTGTTGACCCCATGTCTGTAGCATATTTTGTTGTTGAACTATAAGCCTTCAAAAGTGTCACAGGTACAAGGTTCAAAGGGCACACCTGAGGAGCAAGAACTGCCCAAAAATCTCATATTGACATATGTTGCTCCCTAGGTCAAGACCTTTCCAACGATGTCTTCACTGTTGTCCTACGACAAAGTTTGATTTTCTTGTTGGTACACACCATGGCTGTTTGACGTATACATTCAGAGACCTCTTTAAAGGAGTCATATTATGCCCTTTTTCAGGTTCATAATTGTATTTTGTGGCTCTCCTACAATAGGTTTAGATGTTTTAATGTTCAAAAAACACATTTTTCTCATACTGCCTACAGCTAAACACCTCTTTTCAGCCTCTGTCTGAATCGCTAGGTTTTAGCGCCTGTCTCTTTAAGACCCCCCTCCCGAAAAGCCCAGTCTGCTCTGATTGGTCGGCATTATGACGCGGCTCACGCGGATGACGCTCCGGCCCCTCCCCTTTGTTGCCGGCAGGTAGCTCCTCACTGCTACTGAGTTTAGCTTCATTTCTACCGTCAATATTAATTCAATAACTGCTTCTAAAGCAAAAACTTCACCAGCAGACATGTTGGAGCGGGAGTCTGACCTGAAATCACGGAGAAATGAACAACATCAACAATCAGGATTACAGCTTTCTGTGACGTTTTCCTCAGGTAAATACAGCTATATTAACTATATATACATACATACATACATATAACTAATATATATATATATATATATATATATATATATATATATATATATATATATATATATTAACCTCTATCTATCACATAATGTTAGTGTTTATACCTTAACTATGAGAACCAACACTGTGTTTTATGCTTGTCTTTACAGGTACAGCAGTGAGCACTGACCTACAGTCTACACAGCCCACTGAAGTTAAACATATTATATATTACATAATATTAACAACATTAGTCAAGCAGTTGTTTCTAGTGAAGAAACACCCAGTAAATGTACCAAAGTAATCAGAGTAATAGTATAATGATTACTGTAACCTCCCATCTGTTATATTCTTTATACACATTAGTTTACTGAGACCATGGAAACAGAAACCTGGAATACTTTATCCTGTACAACATGTCAACATAACTGAAGGAATCACTCATCTAATAAAGTAACTTGTTCATGTGGTTTAAAAACTGCCAAGTTACCAACTGTTAACTGTACTGTATCCATATTTCAGTCTGATATTTTAACTTAACCCTTTAGGCGCCGGGTTTTATTTAGAAAAATACTAGATTTTGACATCTAAATTTCAGAAGGCTCTGGCTTGAAAGTGGTTTGAGATAGAGACAAAGTGTAGATGAGACAAATATTGAGAATGACCTAAAGTTTATCTAGGGAGAAAATTTTCCCATCTAATTTGCATATTATGACGTCATATGGCGACGGCCATATTGGATTATATAATTTCCATGAAATACCTGATATTTTGAAAGAGAGTTGAACTTATTTCATCAGATTCACCCCCTTCATCTATTTGTTATGTTGTCCACATATCAAATGAACAGGGAAAAGTAAATTGTAAGCCAACAGTCATAAACTAGAACTATTACTACCACAAAACTCATGTAAACAGTAGGCGTTTTTTATGATTTTTTACCCACTACCACCCCCCCATTGGAGGACACTTTTCTTTTCTTTTTTATTCTCTTCTTCATTATTATTATTATTATTATTATCGTCACTATTATTATAACATGATAATAATAATAACAGTAGGCGTCTTTTAGCTGCAGAGGTCTAATCTGATCTATCCAGATAAAAGTTTGTAGTATTTGTAGAGTGTGGAACCTCTCATTGCAAGGCACAGTACAGAGACAATATGAACAATATTGAGACCCCACCACATAGCCTAACAAATGGACAGGTACACATCCGCATCGGATGGCTGCGCCACTGCCGCGCATGGACGCACTGTGACTGGCGCGGTAGAAAGAGTGAACACTAACGCTGGTCCCAGCATTATTCTCACCACCCCCACTACTTCTACCACATCCATTAGCTCCCTTACTGATACTACGAGTTTGTGTAGTACTCCCACCTATGTTGGGCAAAGGGTCATGTGTTTGTGCTTGTGTGTTCTCCTCGCTCTGCCCGGCAGCGCCGGTGCAAAGACGCACCGTGACTATCACGCTCACTAAACGACCGGCCGTCATCTCCCAAAGGTAGATTTTCCCCTTCAGAATCAAGGGTCAGCGAATAGGAGACCCATCACTTCCCTAATCATAAACTTTTAGCTTGTCATTTTCGTTTATTTGGTCTCAACAACTCCTAAATCCAGCAATACCGCTTCAGCATAAATAGCGCCGTGGCGCAATATTTCCGGTTTCTCGCCCAACAGTTTGGACGGGTCTTCCTCGAACATTTTGCATTGAAACATGATGTTTTTCTGAGCTAAGGTCTAAGTATGGGATGTCTGCCAACTAGTGGAGGGGAGTATGAATGAGATATAACACTCTATTAGGAGAAAACAGCTGTTTGATTCAGTACTGCGTCCTGTCGCAATTTTGCGACTTTGGCGCTTAAGTAATAATACTTTTAACCCTTTAAGTTCACCTTCAGATATGTGTAAAAGCTGCAATTATGTTTGAACCCCATTAAAAATACTGTATACTGAATATTCTATCATTTATATTATATACTGTATTATGATGTCATTTATCTTCCAATGTAATAAAGTTTGAATGTGAGACAGTAATGTATTGTGTTGCTTACAGTCATTAATACAGGTTTAAGTTCCACATTTTCATATTGATAGATGTTACACGAATCAGGTTTTCAAGTCTTGTACATCCAGGAAATCTTCATAAAACCTGAAATAACATGTTATTTATATAAAACCACACTTATTACTGAATTTAAAAATGACCAAAACTCTTCTTAAAAGTAAAACACTTTATTTATATTTCATTCATATTCCAGTTACACATGTTGTAAGTAACAAAGCTATAACTTTTATGTAAACTGTGCAGATCATGTCCTCCATCAAGGTTTATGGTTTCTAGTATACTGAAGTGTGAGCTGGTAATGGAGCTCTGCGGTCAGTGTTCATCTTGTTGAGTCTTCCTTTGGATACCCAGACTGTCCTGATGCTGCAGCTGTCTCTGTCCTCTGATGGGTCCAGGAACACCTGAGCTTCATCAGGTCACCTGTAAAACATGGAAGATTCAGTGTTACTTGTAAGGCAGCACATAATATACAGTACAATACAGTATAATATAATAAAAGTACAACAGCTCATTGTGGCTCACAGTAGTCCTAAGTTATAAAATAAAATAATAAGCAGTGTCTCTGGTGAGTTCCTTGTTGCAGCTAACTGTAGTGATGTGTTGTTGAAACAGTCTGAGGTTACCAACACAATGTCTATCTAATGGCAGCAGATACACACACAGGACATTTACTGACTGTAACTGATGTTGTAACAAGTTCCCGGTTCAATAACAGACATTTAGCAGTGAGCCTCAGTGTTTATAATACAATAGGAGATTATATGAGTATGTTACACTGGACCTACACTTATATCGTCAGTAATAGCAGTACTTCAGTACTTCAGCTAAATATTTAACTTTTATTTGTCGCGGTTTGACTCCACAAAAAGCCTAGTGAGCAACCCCAGCTGCTGGGTGCTAATCAAAGTTACACAGTAATACTAAACTAATGAATCCCTGCAGTTTGACTATTTCTCTCTCACAGTAGCTCTATTGTTAACTCTGGTGCACGTTGATCAAGTTAATTTACACACGTAACACACGCACACACACACACCTGAACGAAGCAGAGAAACAACAAAGCTAGCGCTAGCTGAGATAACGTTAGCACGTCAGTATAAAGTTACACAATAATCACCATCACTCACTCCCTGTATTTTGTTAGCTTCTAAGGAGGCTTGATCACAGTTTGACTATTTCTCTTTCACGGTAGCTCTAGCTTTACCTCCGGTACATTTCACACACACACACACACACACACACACACACACACACACACACACCTGAGCGGAGCAGGACAATGGCTCCGGAATAACAAAGCTAGCGCTAGCTCAGAGAGCTAACAGCTGATGAGCAGCTACAGTTTGTTTTCTGCTCTTTCTAACAGCCACACAAACATATTACTGACTGAGCACGTTTAACTACATACAGACCAACATAAAGCCAATTACCCCCGGACACAAAACCCACAACAGTAACAGAGTTACAGAGCCCCCCCTCCCCCTCGAAGCTTGGTGATTCTCGGTATAAACTTATAATAAACTTCGTGTGAATCTCTATAAAAATATCAGCAGGGGAGAATATGGAGACATCTGCACCAGCTGGTTAATACATTAACTTCACCTTATAAGTTTCATGTTCATCTTTTAACATTTAACAAACATTTAACAAACAATAACTACGTTAGCATGTGCTAGCATTGCACGAACAATGAAAAACAAAGTATAAATTCTTAAAAATACTTACAGTGACTTCCTCTGCTGTCTCTCCACAGACAGTTGGTACAATCCCTCTTTCAGGAACAGTCTTTCAGTCAGTCCACTGTTGTACTGACCGAGGTTGTGAAAACAGTCCAACACGAAAGTTCACACACACATTCCCGTTTTTGTGACTCTAGCCGGACATTGCCGTAAAAAATTATTTACATACATTTACATATGTAAATTTGTGTTGGGCTGTGCAGCCAATGACTGAACAGCTTGTCTGCTGAGGCCTTTGCCCAGTCATTAGGCTGGCAGGCGGCAGGCGGCAAGCTGCTGGCTGGACTTGCTTGTTCTCCGCTAGCTTGCCTTTTATAGTAGCAATGGCGGAGCTCCGATAGTCAACAGGAAGTAAAGAGAGGTGGGTGGCAACAGGCAGGGCATGTGACGTCACAAACTACACACTTCTGAAGCTTTGTGATTGCTCTCCTATATTCTGACTGAGGCAGCCCACAAAAACATGACTGAGTCATTTTTTTTCATACTTTGCCTGCTAATAGGCCCTCCAGAGTCCCAAATGTACATAATAAAATGATTAAAAAGTTGGTTTTGCATAATATGTCCCCTTTAAGGGCCGAGCTGGAAACAATCACTCAGAATCTTTTAATGGGTATTTTGAGGCCAGATTTATTTAAGATATCGATTATAGGATTATACACAGTCATACTTTTCAATGTGGACCAGTTCCGAGTTTATTTTCCCCTTAAACTACTGATTGTTTCACCTTTGGCATTTTCCCATTAACTTAATATGGCTATTTATAGACCCTTTAACCCCTTCCCAAGTCTGACAGGATCATCCTGGATGATCCAATTTATAATATAACGTAGTGCTAATACATTTCTGTGTACAGCTTAAGTTTTGCAAACATATCTTATAAAATGACCATCATAGGACCTTTTTATCAAAAAAGTCAGCATAGGCCTAACATGTTGTGCGGAGGGCGATACATATAAAGTACTTCATAGGACACTGCAACTTTAATCTCTCCTCAAACCATCCAGAATGGTCCTATATTGTCCGGATGACATCGTCCTAAAACCTGTGTGTATAGTTTCACGTATAGATATATCTCTAAACATGAACCCGATGACAGCTGAAGCTAAAAAAAAATGACTGAATCTCAATGGTTACGTTCTTAAAATCAAAGGTGTACTTTGTCCTAATATTTTACAATATCTCAAAATTTTTCTGTTCACCTTCCTTTTCTCCAGGCTTGGAGTCATGTGTTGTATTCAGCCTGAGAAACTCTTTCGTGTCCAGAAGCCTTTTTTCTTTTCTTTTTGTTTCAGTCTTGCTTTGGTTGTGTTGGTGAGGTCAGATCACTGTAGATAGTTGCTCTGACCTTTCTCAGGCCAGGGAACAGTCAATCATGCTACCGTATCAATGTATCCTAACCTCCAAATACTGATGGACAAATCAAGATGGGCTTATCGAGGCAAATGCACATAAGTAAACTGAGGGCAGTCAGACAATTTGTTATGTATTAGGAAAATAATTATTGGATTGGATTAAAAGCTACTAATTTTACAACTCCGTAGAGCAGTATGTACTGTATATTCCGTCAATACACAAGTACACTTTTCAGAAATGCTGATACTTACATTTAGTTCTCTGTATAAAGACATTGGCAAACCTGAATGAAGTGTACCACTGCTGTGGATGAAACTAGTGGCCCTTTGCATGTAGCAATGACATAATCATTAGCAACATTCACATAATGTTACATAAAAAAAATTACATATATTTTTAAAAAGCTAAAACAAATAATCTACCACAAATATGTAGTCCACTTTGATGTATACAAAATGTAAACATACTGTAGTACAGTATACGGTATACTGTATGATTTGGGTGAAAGAAATAACGGAAGTTGATTCATTAAAGTAATCCACTTAAGCAAGTGAAATAATGCGATGTGATTGCAAATAAATAAAAGATAAATTGCAAGTATAATCATGCTGCATTTATGGTTATTTTCCTCATGTTCTTTAGCTATTACCTTTCATCGACTAACACTATCACATTGTGTTTTCAAATAAGATGATGCATCAAATAATATGTCACTTATATTAGCAAACAATATAAAGTACAAAAAAACTAAAAACTATGAATTAATTCATTGAAGAAAATCCTTCGGTTGCCAGGAATGGGCCCACTCCTTACCACTGAAAACAGAAGGGATTTTTGTCTGTTACTGGTACTTGTCGAGTCTTTTCAATGAACTTAAACCTTTAAAACATGAGTCAAGCACACATCAACACAACACAATTAAAACAAAGTCTTAAACACACTCTGAAGTAAATCAATTATGCATAAACATATGGGTCACTTCAACTGAAGCAACAGTGAAAACAATTAGACTACTGGTGGTAGGATATGTTTGTTCTCCAACATGGGACAAGAAGAAGCAGGAAAAATGACTTAAAGCAGAAATAAGTGATATATTTTGTTAATATAAGTGTTAAATAATTCTGTAGTCCTACAGTCATCAGTGATTTAGAGTGTTTGGTCATTGACGTGGGTCTCCCAGTCCCTCTGCTCTGCAGTAAATGGAGAAGTGTAGGAGTTACACTACTATTTAATTAGAAAAGTAATTTATCACTGATGATTAATAATACACTCGTAAATGGGGCACCACCTCCGTTGTTTAGCTACTGGAGTAATCCGGAGGAAATTATTCCACAGATCTAATCAAATCAATTTCAAATCAATTTATTAAATTTCAAAATCTATATTCAATCTCACATTTCTGAAGTAGTGATTTCTTTTACACGATTCATCGATTTCCCCGCATCAAATCAAAACTGCACCGACAAGGACATACGGTTATATATGTTTATTAACTAAATTAATGAAGAGTAAATAGCATGAAATGATAATGTCAACAAATAACAAGTAACAGAATATGTGGACAGTAAATGAATTATTAATATTGGGTGATTCAGGAGCGATGGTGGATTTTGCGATACGGCAGTAGCTTTAAAATATTAAGGGAGTAACTTTTAAAACTACGAGGCCCTAATGGAAAACTCTTAAGCTTAAACTATGGGAATCAAAGCTCACAGACAGACACCTACTCTTGGGAAGTGTGTGGGACCCCGGCAATGTATGTGGGTTTCAGCCTACTTTTTGTAGAGATGGAGGGACTTCAGGATCTTTCTCCTCTGGCTGGTACTGCTCGGCTGCTGTTCAGAATCACAGGTCGAAGAATGTGTCGTCACCGATACCAATTAGCTCTTCAGTCCAAGGCCCAGTGCAGCTTGACGCTTTGAGTGTGTTGGAGGCAGATAGTCTGAAGAATAATGTCTTTGTCCGGCTAAAACGTTTATACGTCTCCTTGAGCGGTGAACCACTGTGATGTCCTTCTGGCTTATGATAAATGTCTTAAGAAAAGTTCCTCAGAGTGGTTGGTCTTCGGCTTTGTTTATGAACTAATCGGACTTCTTGTCTAAAATAACTGTAGGACGAAACGCTGGCCTGGCGAATCCTCTGTAGTCAGTGGATCCAAGAATTAAACTAAATTCACTTTCTGTGAATAAGGCGACAATACTTGACAATATATATAAACAAAAAAAAAAACGTATAAAAAGAATTAACTTTGTTCGTGTCTTGAGCCTTCAAAATAAAAGTACTAAAAAGTACTTCAGCACTGCAAACTATTACGTGAGGAAAATTCAACATGTGTCTCAAACGAAGTAAAGTACGGAAATTAAAAGTAGAACGAGAGTAAATAACGAATGTTTAAGAAGAGAGTTTTGGAAGTGTAAAAAGTAAGGGAGGGAAGAAGACCGGAGTCTATATCATATATATGTTTTAGTCTGGAGGTGTATCCGGAAAGGCTAATCGCGTCACTTCCTTTAGCGATATTTTGATATTCGTAACCTTATTAACTTACTTCTGTTGTGTTTTAAAGTTTCAAAATCATAATTCACCATTCACAGAACCCCCCATGACTTAATACATAGTTTACATGTTTTAACCCAACATAACCAAAATTACTTGATGTAAAAATAAAAGCAGAACTAGTTAAAATGTCACAAACATGCATATGAAGCAACACTAATGGATTGTACATATTTCATATAGTGCTAGCTTAATCCTTGTTATAACAATTAGGTGTCAGGCATTTACTATTTGGAATACTACACAATTATAAAACAAAGTCGGTTTTGAAAATACCTTACGCTATACCAGAATCTTACCAAAAGGTGGCACTGTGGCTCCATCAAACATTCAGACATTTTACACAATTTTGTGACTTAGTCCAATCTGAAGAAAGAAACATCAGACAAACATTACATTTGCGACCTTCTCATGCTGGATGGCAATCTATTAATTTTGATGAAGATGAAATTTTACCATAATACAGAACTAAATCTATATCCGTGCAACTGTTGTTACTGCTTCCTAGATTGGAATGTCAGCCTCACAAAAGGTGCACTTCTTTCGGATCTACCCCCTGGCATGATAAATGACTGAGACAGACAAGCAGACAGGCAAACAGACGAACAGACTGACCCAGACAGACAGGCAGATAGACAGACTGACAGGCAGACAGATGGATTGTGGTCTAAGCGTGAAGAAGATGCTGAGGCCCAGTGGTTGAGAACCCTCAGTTACTAAATCAAACTTAATAGTCGAATTCGAAAAATATATTCTCATTGGGTTGTTCATTAAAGTTTTTTTGATGCTTTGCTAATTTGAAAAAGCTAACTATGTGAATGCATTACGAAACAGATTAAAATAGGCATAGAGAAAATAGTTTAAACATTTGTCCCATCACTGATAACTAAATTACACCTATTTTCTAGCATCTGAACATTGATAGTTTAGGAAAAAAAATCATTTTAATACAAGGTACAGTTCTTCATGGTATGTACATGGTATTTTATCTAATTAAGTCAGTTGATATAATTGGCTAACTGAGTTGTAGGATTACAGTGTCCTGCAGAAAGATGAGAATGGTCACCATATTGCCTTTGGATGGTGTGGATAATTTCTTTTGACCACGCTTCAGTTATGCTGTCATGCTTAAGTAACTTGGTGTTTAGTGACTTCTGTGTATGTGTAGCAGCATTTAACAGATTGTTTATTATTTTCTTTTTTCTGCTGGGCTCTTTTTCCTTCTTTTGTTTTCTGCTGGGTTCTTTGCCCTTACCATCTGCATTTTCACTTTGTGCTGAAAAGAAGAAAGAAAAGATTTAAAAAAAAAAAAACAATTGTCACTGTAAGCATTTATTTGTTGTAGGTAGGTTTCTCAAATACTGTGAAGTAGAAGATGTTCCTTTTTGGGGTCAAGCAACTAATGGACCCTTTAAACCATGAATTTAGTTTTTGTAAGGTGAAATCCAGATTTGCAGCCTGGACTTGTAGTTCATGGTGACACATATGGATGCGTGCTATGTCCAGTGCTACTACAGCTTATACCAAAAGACATGGAGCTGACTTATGCGCTTAAATAAGATTCCAGTAGTGAGTGGAAAGTTGACCAGCTCATCCAGTTTCTGCAAAACGAGGTTGAGAGCAAAGAGAGCACTCCAGCTGAGCAAACCAGGTAACTAACAAAGAGACATTCCATCAAATAATAAATTCTGTAGTAGATCAGCCCACCACTCTGGTCCCCTCCCTTTGAAGTGACATGGATAGATATGAAGGGCCCATGTATGTCAAATCCAGTGGTCAGCCTACCAAAGCCTTCAACGCACCTTTCACACTGACACTCTGGCAATGTATTCTGAGTTAGTGTCAGATCAAACAACTGAACATTTTCTCTTAGCCTTAGAGAAATTTGTAGTTACACTGTTAAAAGTCTAACCATCTGGTGACAATAAATACATGCCTGGAGCTTCCTCAACAGGTTTCGTCATTCTTTTCATCTCTGCAGAATCTGTAATAAAGTTTAACATTAGTCATGTGATTTCATAAATAAAACAAATTCAAGAAAAATCACACTACTTACCAGTCTGTGGATATGAGAGATTTCCTTCATCGACCTCTCTCTCAGCATCGACCTCACTCTCTGCACTTGAATCGGTCAACTGTAGGTTATCTAAGAAAATAAATTATATTACCTTGATGAATAATGAGATTCAAGTGCTATAGATTGCCTACATTCAATGTGTGTTCCATTTTGCTAAAACACATTTGCTAGAAACAGTTCTAATTTTTAAATTAAACTACTTCAAATGGCATTACCTTCGATTTCATCTCCTCAAGTGTTTTGCCTTGAAGGCTTCTGAGGGACCCTTTCTCCATGGCAAGCAGTAGTTTGGAGATTTTGGCCAGCTGGGTAGTAGCCTCTGGAAGTCGCTAATACTCCCGATGAACGCGAATATCGTGGCCAAGGAAGTCAGCAACCTGGTCTAACTCATGATTCTTGAGGTTCGAGATCTGTGACAAAGTTGTGACATGTTTGCGTAATTGCGTCGACCTGAGGAGCTCAGGGTTTTCAGCCCCACATTCACTCGCATAGAGCCTCAAACAGTCCTGTCCTCTGAAGGGAGTCGGACAATGAGGTCTGGCAAACAGGAACAGGTTTTCTGCCAGAACACCAGTCTTTTCTTTTCTCTATTAGGTGTGTTATGGCCTTCACCATGTCTGGTGAAAGTAACACTGCAACTTTCCGGCCTTCTTTTACCCCTTAATTTAACACGACTTAAGTGTTGACAAAGGTGAAGTTCAAATTGTGTCAGTCCAAAAGCGACATCCTTGTGCAGGGCACTTGTGTCTCTCCAGAAAGCCATTCAGCGTCCTCTTTGAAATTTCTCCCCCTCTTCTCCCGTTAAAAAGTATTACATTTGCCATGGTGGCTTTAAAAAGTTCACTATATGATTTTGGTGAACCGTGGTCTTTCAAGTCCTTCAATGCTTGTTCTGTAGTCTTCTCCAGATGTCTATGAAGACGCTGAACATCTTCCGTAAAAGGAAGAGTGGAAGGCTTGTTAAAGTGGCGCTCATTCAGCGTAGTTAAAGCGGTGTGGGAGATGAGATCAGTCCACTTTGTAGCATAGAGGGTTTTGAAACTCTGGGTTGACTTTATCAGGTTACTGTCTTGTGCCATCACTGCTCTGCAATGTAAAATGTCACTGACTTTCTCCAGTGAGTGACCCAACTTTAATGCAAGGCTTGGAGTACGGTAGCAGTGCTTTTCGTCATTGTAACCAGACACTTTCTTGACAGCTTTGATCACCACATCAAAATTTGCAGGTCTCACAGCATCGTCAAGAGTATGTATTGAGAATTCCTTGCGAAGCATAAGCAGAAGTCTTCCACTTTCTCTGAGTGTCTGGCGAAAATAGTCATATTTGGTGGGATCCTGTCCAAAAATGACAGGGCCAGCTGAAGAATAGAGAAGTCACTTCACACAGTAGCAGTTATCTCATCATCTTTCATGACAGCTAACATCTTCCAAACACCTGGGGATATTTGCTGACTCATTTATAGAGGCCAAAGACATGACCTTTTTTCTTCCAATCTCTGAATTGGCTTCTACTGGTTCTGAAGAACATTTTCTAACATGTTGCCACAGATCTCTTCAGAGATATAATGCCTGGCAGTACATGCAGTGAATATAGTCTTTTGCATTGTATTTTGTCTTTGCTGTGCGTCTTAGTTTTAGCGATTCAACTCCTCTGCGTTATGGATGTGGTTTCCCTTGTTGTGTAGCTTTATAAGCATTTTCTCGCGCTGTTTGGACTTCTTGGGGAGACTTAAAACTTGAGCAACATCTGCATGTGTTTTCTCGTGACGTTTTAGGTGACGTGTAAACTTTGCAATTTTCCACAAATGTATTTTTGAGAGAGGATGATGTGTTTGAGACCTGTTCAGCCCCAGCATCAGCGCTATCATCAACAATTATGCCTTCAGCATCAGCATTTCCTACTTTGGCAGTAACTCCTGATACTTTAAGCTGACTTGCGCTGATTGCATCTTCAGATAATGATTCTGCAGCTTCAGAAACTGACTCTCTCTTCCTCTACAAAACTTTCTTGGTGGTGTCTTTTCTTTTTTGAAGCAGGCTTGCTGGTGGACACCTCAAAACTCTAATTCTAAATGTCTGCGACTGATTTTTTAAAGGCTGTGCAATGCCGTCCCATGAGCTGTTTGAATCAGCTGTGGAATCAGGCACATTTCTGATGATGCCACCTCACTTGAACTTTGTTCTTCACAGACCTGATAATGATTAAAAAATACATTTATATTTTGTGTACTTGGAAAGCATTTCACTGAGAATAATTCTACTAAAACACTTACCACTGGCAGAGGTTCAGTGATGTTCACCTTGTGCTTAACATAACACTTTTTGTGCCAGGACTCGTAGCAAACTAGACAGAAAATTAAGAATTAAAAAAGGAAGATAGTTAATAATATCATGGTAAGTACTTAAAAAGTAAGTGCAGCTGCAAATGGCTCATCTTGAACATATAGCAGAGTTACACATGGAACCGTTTTTAAAAAGTGTTCCTGGGGCATCATGTTCAAAAGATATGGATGGACCCCCCTTCCCTTCTCAAAAAATTACCTTTACACATCACACCAGACCATTTCAGAGGTGAAAGGGGTCCTCCACATGTGACACATTTTTCTAAACTTGACATTTCTTCAGGGACGAGATCATGATCACAGTCCTGTTGACCAAAAAACAGTGTAATCAAAAGATAAGAATTTGATCCTAACTTATCCCTGTTATGAAATTGTTTAGAAGTTAACTTAAAACTTTAAAATCTAGATTTATAACTTTTTGCAATGTATATTTCATTCCTGTGTAATCCTCACCATGTAAGGAGGTCTGTTAGTTTTGTACATTAGAAACAAACTCTCATTGAGTGTTCGTCCCTTCATTTTAGACTTCCAAAGAGATGCTGCGTCAGGCTGCTGACGTGGACGAATGCAGTTCCTTTGCAGTCATCATACCACAGGTAATTTTGCTCTCCAATGATGTAGAAGTATGAACTCATGAGAATGATTTTAAGTAGTATTGAAACACAGGTCCTGTGTAATCCTCACCATGTAGGGTACAGACATTAGGAGGTCTGTATACTTTGTATTTAGAAACAAACTGAGTGTTGGTCCCTTCATTTTAGACTTCCAAGGAGATGCAGCAGCATCTTTAGGAACCTCCAGGTACGTTTTTTTCATCCTAGGATTAAAATTGTTCCATATAAATAAAGAGATTAGTCTTTCTAGCTGTTTAAATGTTTTCATGGGGATCATCTGAAACACAGAAATCTAGGTAGGACTGTCATTTTAACTATATTAATGCGACCAGCTAATGAGGTCGGTAATGTTGACCAGATCTTGTTTTGTTTGTTATAATAATGACTTAAACTTGTGTTTCTCCAAATTCTCCATCTCATGGGTAACTTTAATTCCTAGATATGTAAACATATCGCGTTCTATATTGAACGGACATTTTGAATAATCTCTGTTTGTGCGGTCAATTGGAAAAAGCAGGCTCTTTGAGTAGTTCAATTTGTAGCCTGTTGTAGCCAAGTTTTCTAGCATCAATAAAAGTTTTGGTATTGATACTGTCGGGTTGGATATATACAAAAGCAGGTCATCCGCATATAGCGCCACTTTATGGACCACCGGAGATACTGGTAATACCCTATCCTGCTCTAAGGGCTATAGCGAGGGGTTCGACCGCTAGATCGAACAGATATGGGGAGAGGCCGCAGCCCTGTCTACAAGACCTGTAAAGGGGGAAATAGTCAGAAATATTGCTATTGGTCCGCACAGCTGCAGTGGGTGCATCATATATTATTTTGATCCAGGTCAAGAATGATGATCCAAAGCCAAATTTGCATTGATTTAATTGCCTGCATTACTTCGCCCGCTGTAATCTCTCCATCTATCTGTAAACTGTCCTCTGGGGTTATCGTTGGGATGGTCAGCCCCTCTAAGAATGTAGTAATATCTGACGGGTCGTCTGGTGGCTCCGACCTATAGAGGGTCATATAGAATTGTTTAAATTCATCATTTATTGTATTAGGGTTAGTGGTTTTCTCCCCCAGCTCTGTTCGGATTTCAGGAATAGTACTTACAGCTGCGGACTGTCGAATTTGGTGGGCGAAAAGCTTACCAGCCTTCTCCCCGTTTTCATAAAATTTTTGTTTTGATTTAAAAAATAAACTCTTCAGTCTGTTTAATAGAGAGGTTATCGAATTCAGTTTTTAACAGTAATTTTTCTCTGTAGAGCTTGGGCGTTGGAGCGTCAGCATATTTACAGTCCACCTCTGCTATGCTGCAAGATAGGTCGCTCAAGCGTTGTTTGCGTTTCCTTCTCTCATGTGCGGTATAAGATATTTTCTGGCCCCTGAGATAGGCCTTGAGAGCCTCCCACACAGTGGTTAGTGGCATATCAGGTGTGTGATTGAATTCCAGAAAACTATTTGAAAACTCAATTTGTTGGGAGATAGAGTCCCTAGATAACAATAGAGGGTCAAACCGCCACGTGCGGTGTGGTCTGATGCACTCTGGTAAACATATATCCAGCTGTACCAGGCCATGGTCAGAAATGACAATGCTATTATACTGGCTATCCTTGACCATCGGGAGAGTTCTGCTATCTACAAGGAAGAAGTCGATCCTAGAAAAAGAGTGGTGAACTGTGGACAGGGTTTCCCGCAGCACTTTGCAGCTAAGGCGCCCGCCTTAGCAACACAGGCCTGCCGTCTTAACTACGTCATCAAAAAAAACCAAAAAACAAAAGTAGGCAGAGTGATATGAGCAATATCAGCGATATCCGCCGTGTTACTCTATCGTGTTTTCTCCCTTTCATTCCAAACCGTGACCTATGCCAGTCTCCCTTCTCCGCAGAACGCATTAAAAAAAATAATGAAAAACGTGCCAGTGTAGAAAACATCACTTAGTTTTCATACGCGCAAACACCCTACTTCGCTTCGCTGGATTATGGATTCCCTTTATGTTCCAACTCAAAAAACTAATATAGCCTGACTTTTGTGTATCAGACATTGCGCTTTTTGGATAAATAAGAAAAATAAGAAAGCAAGAAAAAGTCCCTGTCTAACTATAAAACTAAAACTGAGCCTTAAATCCCTATGCTGATCTACTGAACCTGTCGAGATCACACACATCTCTTCTAGCATTGTGCTGCAGATAACCATCTAACCTATCCTCCTAACAGGCCCTAACCGGGAACCATGATATGTACAAATTGGATTGAACTTAGAATAACAATGATATACATGTAGCCAACAACAGAAACCAAGGTACCTCTGTATGACCAGCTCCTCTCCTTTAAATCATTCTCCAGGTACTTCATGTTAACAGACATCCCTCTGCTATATCTGTATGTCTAATAGAAATTAAAAGTCTCAAAATGTTATAAATACCCACTCAGATGTACTTAAGAAAAGAAAAAGCCACTCTATATAGCAGGCGTTGAGTTTCAAATATTCATAGTGGATTCAAGTGGCAAGATTCCCTGAGGGTCTCAAGTTTTAAATTTAGCAAAATATAAATAGCTATAAAATAAAAACAACTTAGAAGGATTATGTTATATTCATGTGGCGCTAATCCTAGTACCAACAGCTATTATGGTGTTTACATTTTTTTTACATTACACATTATAAGGGCACCATATTCAAATGGTATGCATATGTATACACACAACCACATAGGCTGCATGCGTACACAAAAAAAGGAATAAAATAGGAGAGAGAGGAATAGAGTCTATGTCTTGTGGCTTAAACACCAGGCATTAAGCATCCATAAAATATAAAGTGTCAATATTACCTGAGAGCCTCATTGTTATGGGCATTGTAAAAAAGGAAAGTGAATAAGCAAATAGGTGAAAAATAAAGCCTGGTGTTCAGTTCTTTCACATTGGACTCACCAGTTCGTTATCAACAACTAGTCTCCATTGTCCAGTTGGTTAAATCAACTTACAGTGTCCTTGGGCTTCTGGAAATATGCTCACTCTTGCCGTGCAGGGTCAGTGGTGCCGAGCAGGCCGCTGTACGGAAGACCTTATCTCGTTCCCGTAGGTAGCGGAATCTGATCACGATGACTCTGAGAGGGCCTCCCTCATTAGTATGTCGGGTGCCGCGATATGCTGCATCCAGGGTTGGGATGAAGTAAAGGCCCAACAGCTCCTGCTGTAGTTTAGCAATACTCGCAGTGGGCCGCTGTCCCTCACATGATTAAAAACCTTCTTTTATTCCGACCAGATGTGCACTAAGTCGGCGCTGCCCCCACTCGATTTCTTCCACTTTCTGGTGGAGTGAGGTGACTTCCGTTTTTAACATGGCGACCTCGTTTACAATAGTAGCGAGCGAACAGGAGCGAGTCTATCTTTGTGTTCAAGTCAGCTGTACTTGAGTCTATCGGTGCCAAAATCCTGCTTTCACTGCTTGCAATTGTGGCCATGACAGCAGATAGGTCTGTAGTCTCCTCGTCTGAACGTAACCCAGGTCCCATGTAGTTAAAAAATAAAGCTAGAGTGGTTAATACAATGAGACTGGGCCTGGGCTCGTTGTAGGAAAAATACAACTTTTTATTATGTTACTTTAAGAATGTGTACCCTTAATAATGTTTGCTATTTTAATAATGACCACCACAACTGTTCTTTAAATGCAATAATCCCTTCACAGGTATTTATTCACAAAATAAAATATGTTGAATGTATTTTTAGTACAAAATAAAATAATGAAATTGCACAGAATTACCCAAATGTACATAAAGAGATTTTCAAAATAAAGTTCAGTTTGTTTTTGGTGTCACACCTTTTCTTTAACTTAAAAAGAAAAACCCTTTTTGTTAGATACTCTTTAGTTAAATACCTTCAGTACCTTTTTAATACTTTTGTTACAAGCAAAACACTACCTCTCAAAAGAAAACCTTTTGTTTTATATCATTTAAAATAAATAATATTTAATCCTTCTCAGAATCTTTAAATTACCTTCAAAACAGTATTCTTTAATTTACACCAACTCAAAACTCAATATGTTACCTGTGGGCCCACACACATTCATATGAAACACACTTTAAATGAGATTTTAACCCGTTGCAGGCCTGTTTATTGAAGCTTGTGTGTGTGCCTGGGGCCTGAAAACTATAATGGCCGCTTCACTCAGAGCTGAGCACAAAATAAAAGCACGTGCATATGTATGTTAGTACTCAGCAGGACAGAACACGGCCGAACACGGCCGAACAGCAGGGCCATCGGTTGGAAACCTGTCTCTCTCTCCAACGTCCGTCTCCTTAAAGCATATTATCCGAATTGAGCCACAATATCAAACACTATCTCATGTCGAATTAACATTAGCTTGCTTTAGCTTCAGAAATATCACAATGCTACAGCTACGATATACAGGCACATTAGCACCGAATGCTACCGCTAGTTAGCACGTCGCTAACCGCGTTACACATCCAGTTTCTTTAAACTATAACAGTTAGATATAGCACAAAATACAGGCATACACATCATATTCACCTCTTGCAGGTCACACAGAAGTTTATATCAGGACCACGAGTAGTCGACCTCCACGATAAAACTCAAATGCTCCCCACACCACGATGCCTCCTCTCTTAGCTCTCTGGTCGATAGCGCCTGTTTTTCTCCTCATGCTGCTCACTACTCCCCACACTAACCTGCGCCACTAATCCCGCTCCTTACACAGAGACTTTACTGTGATTGGCTCGTGAATTTTAACACAACCAAAGGCAAAACAGGAATGAAATGATTGACATGTGATAGGTAACAGGTTAGATTACACATGTAAACACGGCTTCTTCCTCTCTTCTTTTCTCTCGGATCACAGATATTTTAACAGACTTAATGAACTTAAAGAACTTTTTATGAATTTGTCTCTTAACTGTAAATAGTCTTATTTATTAAACTTTACATATTATATTTATGCTTTTAACCGGCACACATTTTAACAATTTTTAAATATTATGAACTCTATTTATGAACTTTTTTAATACAGCATGTTATTATACTGTTAAAAAAATTTTATGCTCTGTAATTTATATGATTTTTATACAGGGCTACATGAAGATTCCTCATTTGCGGAAGTGGTTTCAGCTGGGTTCGAGGCTTTAGCAGCGGCCTCTTTCTTGTGGCGATTTACTCGAGGCATTTTGTCGTTTAGTCGTATAATATGTAAAGATGAAGCTTTCAGTATGATACACTGGTGTTATTCAGTTATCAGAGGCAACCATGGTCTGCCTGAAGTTGTTTTATAAAAGTATTTTTTTTAAAGAGTTCGCTCCGGTCAGGAGTTCTGCACAAACACGTCCTCACGTCACTGTTCGCTAGCGCCCCCAGATGTAGGTGCTTTTAATCCCCACCGATGACTCACCTCTGTCCTGTGCACCAGCATCCATTTGCCGTCTTCTCCCTGTTTGTGAAACTCCAGGTAGGGGTCTGACTTCCCGAAGAAGTCCTGCACAGAATGGAGACAGTTTGTTGTGAAGTCTTTTTGAAGGGGCTAGAATCCTGTTTTATCCTAATTTCTCCTCTCCTTAGCCAAACAGCAACACACAATACTACAAATGTTTATAGTAAATCAAATTGCAAGTCTTTATTTTGTTTAATTAACATTTGTATTAAAAGAGTTCCAGCAATTACTGCGCTTTGTGTGTACCCTGGTAGTTTAACCAGAGGGTGCGCAGCAGGCACACATCAGCATTAGTTCAAATCACAATTCAAGCCGTGCTGTTCCTGACCCACTGTCATTCTTCTCTTCAGCAGCAGCTACTCCATAGGTCCATGATTGAAAATGAACTCTTATAAATAAATACATATATTGCACGATTTTCATTTCCAACTATCTGTGCGCCTGACAGCCCATTAGTTAGCAGACAAAGGTGAAGGATGTGAAAACATCTACAGTAAATGTTGTCTGTGTGGGCTTTGCTTGTGCCTCCTAAAGCAGTATGCACTCTGAGTGTGTGTGCGTGCTTGCATTTGCATCCAGAGAGTGTGTGTGTGTGTGTGTGTGTGTGTGTGTGTGTGTGTGCCTACCTTCTTATCCAGTTTACGCCCACTCAGGGTCAAAGTGATGATTCTGTTGTCAGACAGCTCCTGAGCTGTTATCTAAAATAATATTACAGCACAACATTAGCTGCAACAAAAATACAGGTATTAACATTCAACATCAGCAGGAGGAGCAGCAACAATAGCAGTCATCACAGCAACAGCAGCCGCCTCTGTAAGATCTCCGTCATCACTGTCATCATCATCATCAACAACAGCAACAACAGCAAACATGCCATTATAGTAAACAACAGCGACTGCGTCCACTTGGACAGCTACAGCAACCTCTGATGATACGGTACAGTGTGTGTGTGTGTGTGTGTGTGTGTGTGTGTGTGTGTGTGTGTGTGTGTGTGTGTGTGTGTCAACATGAGAGGCAGGAAGAAAGAGAGGTTGTATACAGAGAGAGAGAGAGAGAGAGAACCTTTTAAAGACAGTGTCTTACCGTAATGGATCCTTTGCCTGCTGGCTTCCCATTGGCTAAGATCAACGGTCTGTGAAGTTTCTTATTGGACACAATCTAGCGGACAATTTAAGAGAGACACACAGGAATCACTTCAGAACGACAAAACACAAAAGAAAGATAGGTTTGAACCCATCATTCTAGTTTAATTTAGTAGTTATCCAGTTCCCACGCTAACTTCTTCTCTTCCACTGTTGACCTTCCATGTTAAACGAGCAACAAGGAAGTGCTTCGACTCTGTTGCGTCTTTTAACTTTCTGACTACACCAGAGGTGGGAATGTGTCATGTTGTGCAGCTTGACATCTGTTGCTTCTGATCACCTTACGCCTACATTTTACCAAATAGCTGAATAATGTAACATACAGCATGAAGGACTGACAGAGCTGGAAGAAAATGTTATTCTACAGCAGTCTGACAAACATTGACTGCTACTTACATAGTGGTGCTAATTAGATCAGTTCTCCCACACAGCTCTGCCATCAGCTAGACATCTTACTGTTACAATAGTCATGACTGGTCAGAATGTGTTGGTATTTGTTGTTTTACAACAATATGATATTATCACAGAACTGAGTGTGCTAATTCATCCAGAACACAGTCACATTGGAGACTCAGTACAGAAATTAATACAGAACCAACTTTGGACTGAAGTGGAGAAATCATTCCTTACTAGTGATGCGCGGGCCGACCCGTTGGGTTGGGTCAGGTCCAGAAATGTTCACTTTATTGGTGGGGCGGGTCATTAAGGATTAAATATGTCCAATACAGCCTACTTTTTAACAACACTGTTAACTAAGCGCCTATATATATATATTTATTTTTATTAAGATTTGAAGTTGTTTTTGCCGGTTTCCAGTGCCACTCGAAGGGCTGTTTTCAAGCACATTTGTCAGACCAAATAAAAGCCTTATTCAATGACATATCTAACGTGTATTTAATAGCAGCGGGGCGGGATGGGGCGCGTTGTGAAAATAGATGCGGTTGTGCGGGCGGGATGGAGCGGGTCAAATTATTAAAAAGTGGTAGTCCACCTGAAACTTCACTCCAAACACCGGGTTCTAGTTGTTCACAGCTGTTTCAGTGCGCCCCAGCTAAATGAGAAGAAACAAGGAGAGATTAAGAGTCTTAAAACACATTTGATTCAAGTGGACTGTGGCTGTGCCTGTAGATGCAGTGGAACAGTGAGGGTTTACTGAAAAGGCACAAAAGATGACAGTTTTAACTTTTAACATCAAACTGCACAGAAGAGAATTGGGCATTTAACTAATTCTAGAAAGTCTTATTCTGGTTGTGATTCTTACTGTTTTTTTTTCCTTGTGCGTTGTATTTTTTATTATTTCCCTACTCCTACTGTTTTTTTATACTGTTTTTTATACTGTTCTTTTCTCTATCCACTTTGCTGCTGAAACATTGAAATTTCCCCATTGTGGGACAAATAAAGGAATATCTAATCGAATCGAATCTACTCACATTCAAGATATTGTTTACATGAGACAGAGTAACCTAGTTATATCATCCCATTATTCTAACATTCAAATTAACATAACAACCTTAAACAATGTGCACATTATGCAGGTTTCTGATTGCGTCAGTGCAGGCTTGTCTCTCAACTCCTCCACATCCAGCTTTCTCTGTCATTTCTGTACCAACTCAATTGAGCATGAGCCCAGTCTAGTCTCTGGCTGCATGGATTGCATTTATCACTCTGCTGGATTTGGTTTGTCAATGCAAAAGTTAGTCAGAAACACCATCCAGTGTAGCATCACAACTGTTTAAAAAAAAGCCATCACAAGAGCCATGTCGCTATAAATGTGTGGGCCTTTGGCATCTTTCTTCCAGAACTAATTGCCAACTTTGCCTGTCTACCACTGGTGCTGGGCAGGTTATGTTCACTGGGTTTCAGAGCTTTTTAGCGCAGTCAGGGTTTGGTGAGAGTACACTATTGAGAGACTGACCCAAATGGTAAATGTACCGTAAAATCAAAACAAAGTTTTAAAAGGGGCCAAGAGGCTCAGTAAAGCTGCAGAGTTGTCTCACTTTGATTACAGCACTATGAGTGACCCCTCACGTCCATTGGATTCACGCTTGATTATTATAGATTGTTAACATTTGAACACTTTAACTTCATTTTCCTCATTCTCAACTACTTTTTGCAAGTCAATCCAGCTTTGAGGTTTACAAGTGATGAGTTCTCATCTCCCCAAAAAATAGCTGGGACATCACACAGACAGATCAGAAAGCGTGGGTGTCTGTAAGAGCACTGTGAGAGTCATGTTATTTGCTCTGGGTCCTTGAAACCAGGTTGTTGGATGACTAATACTCACTGGCCATGCTACTCTCCAGTGTGACTCACACAGAACACACTGCATAGTGTGTTTATCCACCATTAGACTAGGTCACTATATGCCACTTTTGAATTTGAGTGAATATTAAAGGCATTTTTGAATGGTCATTGGACTGATACACCGGAGATGGTGGCCATTAAATGTCAACACCCTGACACTGAATTACACCTGTCCTTCTGCTCATTACCAGGCACTTAACAAAGCAGTTGACTGATTGGTCCACCATGTTGGTCCTGCCAAAAATACCTCAAAAACTACAGATCGATCACCATAGCATTTTGTACTGACATTTGTAGTCACAAGAGGATGTCACTTGACGTTTTTACTTTGTCCCAAAATTTGATTTAGGACCAAATACCTGCAACACTAATGACATTCCCATCATTCTCAGCTGTGCTTTGTGTTAAGTGCTAATCACCAAATGTTAGTACGCTAACATATTAAACATGGTATACCTATTAATCTAAGAGGGTTAATTAGGTATAACATATGCTAATGACAATGCTAATATGCTGATGCTTAACACCAGCATATTAGTATGACTGAGAGCATGTTAGCATGCTGACATTGGCATTAGCTAGCTGAAAGCACCACTGTGCTTAAGTACAGCCTCTGACAGTACAGACTGTGTAATGTAAAGTGTCACTGAGTATCTGAAAATCACTCAACTACAAATAAAATATTTTATAACAAAAATGTATTAATATTGTTTTAGATTATTTATTTACGGAGAGGGGGGATTTTTTTTCATCATCTAAATATCTGCATTAATTTGTACATTTGTCAAACACCTGTTAGGCTCATTTTAATTAGCCCAATTCTGTACTTTAGTTTATGACCAAATGCCTGCAACACTAATGCCATTCTCACATTTTACATGCTAAACATCAGCATATTAGCAGTACAGCCTCACACTGCCGCTTTACAAGCTCTAAGGCTTTTTTCTCCCTTACTTTTATTGAAGGCACTTAGGTTTAGCAACATAATATATATATATATAGTGAAACTTCATGTTTCATGTTGGTGGAGGTGAAACTGCGTTATACTGTCTATTAAATTTGTAAAATCCTAGCCTAAATTTAACTAGTAACTATGACTGTCACATAAATATAGTCGAGTAAAAAGTACATTTTATCTCCCTCTGACATGTCGTGATGTGGAAGTAGAAAGTAGCATAAAATGGAAACACTCAAGCAGAGTAAAATTGTACAGTACTTGAGTAGATGTACTTAGTTACATTCCAGCCCTGCCCAGCACCCACAACAAACACTCAACAACACAATCAACTTAGTGGCAGTGTGTGGTGTTAATTAACTATTGTTAAAGGACACTGATAAGGACAACAGTGTTCATAGAGCCTGAGATTCATTCACAAGACATCATTATGTCTCATTAATGTGCAACTGTGGATCCTTAATAAAGGAAAGGAGCCGAAAGAGCACCATGTTTGCACCACAAATTTTTAACCACAAGAGAGTGCTAGACGAACATAAATGAACGTGAGTCCTGCGACTGTGTTTTCAGGCCCAGCTGTCATTTCAGCTGTTCTTCATGGCAGTTGTCAGAATGAAGGGGGGGGTATAAAACATGCTTTGTGCAAGGTGTTAAAGAGTACAACAGGATATAGAGGTTATTATGATATCTCATTGTAACTCAATAGCAAAATATGTAACCAACTCTTAATCGACTCTTAGTTATGTAAACATGGTGGTGTGCAAAACAAACATTGCTACATGTGTAAAATACTGTACCTTAAATGGCTTCTGAAAAATTATAAATTATAAAAATACTGTTCAATATACTATCAGAGGCAAACAAATGCCTGTTTTATTTTATCAGGAAATGTGCATATCTACACTGTTGTTGAAAGGAAGAAAGAAAGTAAGTAAGAAAAAGTGAACTGAAGTGCAAATAAAGGTCAAAACTCAAGATAGTCTTTCATTATTTTATTTATTTTTATTGTCAATAGACATGTCAGTGCATTTCAGAATGAATGAATGTTAATGATAAAAGCAGTTTGTCATGTGAGAACTGACACTTCAACCTGGATACAAACATTAAAAAGACCCAAAAGACATGAAGAAGAAAAATAAAGTTGGCTAAGTAAAAAGTAAAAAGGTACGTTTTCCTTTTTGTCTTTTTTAAACATTTGGCCGTAATTCTTCTATAATATAATAATATATCATTATAATATTATAAAAACATTACGGCCAAGTGTTTAAAAAAGACAAAAAGGAAAGCGTACCTTTTTACTGTCCTCTCCAGAACTTAGCAAACTTTCTTCTTCTTCATGTCTTTCGGGTCTGGTCCCACAGGACTGGTCCATCCCTCAGGTAGGGTCCCCCTAGTGGCCTGGCGCACTTCCGTTTTGTAAAGTGAATCTGCAGCGTTTATATCTTGCAGTTGTTTTGGGGTTTTGTGTGTTTTTGGTATTTGCAGCATTTTTCTTTGGCATTTGTTTTGTGGGTTTGTACGTTTTTGCTTCTGCTTCGTTTCTGTGATTGCAGCATTTTTCTGTCGCTGCGTTTTTCTGTTGCACTTGTTTTTATGTGTTTTTGTGTTTTTGGTTTTGCATCATTCCCGTGTTTGCAGCGTTTTGCCGTTTGCGGCGCATTTGCCCTTGTCGGCCACCATAGTTAACAGCAGAAATAAATATGCATATTGGAAAAAGACCACAACCTAAACTGGGGGGGCTGCTCCCTCTGAACTCTTCCTTCACTGTGAGTTCATGATTTATTGTGTTTTCACATATGTGGCCTCTACTAAAGACAGTGCTACAGTCTACAGTGTAAAGTGACAGAGTATCCAAGTCTGCATACACACAGCAACTCATCTTCAGGAAACCTTGTTGGAAACCAAGGAATCCTTCACAACATGGCCTCTAGGTCACGGCGCTGAAGGGTGGCGGACTGAGTGGAGACAGCAGTGACGCGACTGAACAGGTGCAGCTGATCCTGAAGAATGTGCTCTGTGGGTTGTCCCTCTATATCATTATCAGATATCAATGTTCGTGTTACTGAACAGTATGTACAGTTTGGAACGACCTACCTACAGCTGCCAACAGAAACACACATAGAAAATAGAAAAATAAAGAAGTGTGTCTCAGACAACCTCAAATTAGTGTTTTGTTTCTTCAGTGGTTATTCTGCCAAATCTATTTCTGGTGCATACATGGGAACTTTATGTATGTTATGTTAATTTCTGAATCATAAATTTATTCTATTGATTAAGAATGCTGTAAAATCATTCTTGATGCTTATTTTGATCATTTTAGAATATTCCCACAGCAACTCCAACTTTATCTCAGTTTGAATTCACCATATAGGAACACGGCTGTACTGCAGTTACTGAGCAGCGACTTTATGACATTTTTGTCATATAATTAGATTAGTATAAAGGCAGCCATATAAGGATGGCCGTCTGTGTGTCCTGTCAGCCAGCTGTCTGTCACAGTTGGTGACACATTAGTTAAGATTAGGGTGTTAATACACCTACGTCAGGATCGCCATACCAATCATAGACCATGGAAAAAGAGACACTGTGTCACCGTGAAGAGTGCAGCAACACTGGTGCACTTAACTCAATACGCCAGTTCACCATCGCGACACTAGAGGTCAGTCAGTGCATAGTCATTCATTTATATAAGCATAAAAACAGATGTTTGCTTTCCCAAATATAATACCTTAACATTCATATGTACTTAAATACTCAAGTACTCAATCACTTCCTCAAGCAGCTCTTGAGATTAAAAAAATCTAAATACTTTAGGGGAATACAAAAAGGGATGAGAACTCTATACTAACTTCTATATATTCAAACAATGTACATCTAAAGGAGTCCTCCCACATAGTGGACCAAATAGTGGACCACATAGTGGCGTTCTAACCCTTCATACTAGACACCAGCTGCTGCAGTCATTGGATACACAACTGATAGCAAAACATTGTATATGGACCTCTTTTGCTGTCATGCTTTTCTGATGGGCTTACTGCAGGGAAAACACATTTTAACTCCACTGAAGCAGTCACTCATCTCTGCAGATTCCCATGAACTGATATATTGCTTCACACTGCCACCGTCCAACAATGCAGATCACATTAGGTAGGAGAGAAATTCAGCCTCCTGTCTCTCAGACTGAGCCTGTGGGCTTCACTAGGTGGGACTTTGTTCCTCCACAGCCTGAAATCACAGTGGAGGCAAATGTAATATTCTCAATGTTTAAACACATTTTAAAAATCCAAATTAACAAGACATGATGAACTAGCAAAGTGACAGTATTCAGTGTGTTATCAGAAGACAGTATAGGTGAGAAACTAAATCTACAGGTGCCTGAAGGAGCCAAACATGTTGTAACTTTACCTGATGAGCTGCAGAGCAGGACACGACTTTAAGGCTCTAACCAGGGCCTCAGCTCCAACCCCACTCACACTGTTTGATTCCAGACTGGGAGAAAAAACATATTCAGACTTAAAATGCACACTGTAAAAACCGGTAGAAGTAAAAATGCTACTTAAAGGTCCAGTGTGTAACACATGTTTTCATTAGAGTATAATCACCTGAAAATAAGAATAGGTGTGTTTTCATTAGCTTAGAATGACTCTATCTACAGAGTAGTCCAGAATGGACAAACTAAGGCTCTGGACAGGGTCTTTCATGTTTTCTGTGACCACCACAGTTTCTCCTACACACCTGGAAGGCTGAGCGGTATTCAAATGCTTACAATGTGCAACTTCACTACTAGATGCCATTAAATCCTACACACTGGTCCTCTAAGTGAAAGTATCTGACTATAATCAGGAAAATGTGCTGAAAATATTATTTAATATTAGTCAGAACTTAAATGTATTTCATTACTTTCCACCACTGCCTAAATGAATAAAGATTATTGTACATTGTATTATTATTGTACTAAAGATTATCTAACCGCAAGTTTGACAAATGTAAAAAATGTCAGTAAGAGATTTTTAATGTGTTTGTGACTTACTCCAACACAGAGATGCGTGTCAGTGATGGTAGAACAAGAGCCATTCTTGCAGCAGTGAGATTACCCAGACTGTTAGTGGCCATACTGGAGGACCACACAAACAAATGTTTTAATTCTCTACTGATGCAGGAGAAAATACTTTCTTCTCTTTAACCACAGTACACACGAGAAAAATAATACAATAACAAATAAGACAAAATTTTAAGATTATATGGAACACTAGCAGTGTGCAGTTGAATCTGGTGCTATATTGCTTTTGGCCACAAGATGGCACTTGTGGCCAAGAGTAAAAAGCTGCAGTCGTCTATAACATTTATTACAGAAGACTGCAAGACCACCACCAACAAAAAAAACATTTTGCAATTGTCAATATTTTATACCACATTTGGTATCATTTGTAAGGGGTATATTTCAAATGAATATTAATGATGTCAAACTGTCTGCCACTGTTAGAACCTTGTGCACAGAGGCCATAGTGGAAAACCCTGTAGGTTAACAAGACAACCAGGAGACAGGGTTTGTTTTCTGATGTCAGAATGAACCAGTCAGTCTCTCACACCCGATTTAGAACTGGTAATAAAATTATGTGTACCGGACACATTGTCCAGATAATGGATAAGGTGATGGCAGTTAATACAAGGTGTAAATACGTTGGGATCGAAACGTGATCATCCTGATCCCATCCGGCTCGCACTGTATGCAGATCTTAGGTTGGTGTGAAATCTGTACAACGTGCTGGCATCTGTACACAACATAACTGACAGGGTCTATTTGTTTTTAGCGTGAGCAAGCAGGAAGACTGACAGAGACACACAATTACAAATTATATGTCTATTCTGTGTCATGAAAAAGCCAAAAGATATTTTATTCAAACCAAGTGCAGGAAAAATGAAAGCAATACGAGTGGGAAAAACGAATGATATACAATAAGAAATAACTGTGTGCAACTGTGTGTGTTTCACTGATCTGTGCTGATCTGCTGTTAACCATGGATATAATTTATCTAGAAACAGAGTAGCCAACATGCCAGATTGCAACACACTTGGAGTAATTGACACAATTCTTTTTATATAAATAAAGGAATAACTCATTATATCTGCTGAATTTAGAAAAGAGGAAAAATAATTAAGAATTTGCTCCAGACAGTTTCCTCTGATTCACAGTTTTTTTAAGGGAGCATGGGGCTGATCTGCCACCAATCTACAGTGCATACGGAAAGTATTCACAGCGCTTCACTTTTTCCACATTTCATCATGTTACAGCCTTATTCCAAAATGGATTAAATTCATTTTTTTCCTCAAAGGTCTACACACAATACCCCATAATGACAACATGAAAAAAGGTATTTTAAAATGTTTGCAAAAATATAATAGGTACATAAGTATTCACAGCCTTTGCCCAATACTTTGTTGTGGCACCTTTGGCAGTAATTACAGCCTCAAGTCTTTTGGAATATGAAGCCACAAGCTTGGCACACCTATCTATGGCTAGTTTCGCCCAGTCCTCTTTACAGAACCTCTCAAGCTCCATCAGGTTGGATGGGGAGCGTCGGTGCACAGCCATTTTCAGATCCCTCCAGAGATGTTCAATGGGATTCAAGTCTGGGCTCTGGCTGGGCCACTCTTGGACATTCACAGAGTTGTCCTGAAGCCACTCCTTCGATATCTTGGCTGTGTGCTTAGGGTCGTTGTCCTGTTGAAAGATGAACCGTCGCCCCAGTCTGAGGTCAAGAGTGCTCTGGAGCAGGTTTTCTTCCAGGATGTCTCTGTACATTGCTGCATTCATCTTTCCCTCAATCATGACTAGTCTCCCAGTTTCTGCCACTGAAAAACATCCCCACAGCATGATGCTGCCACCACCATGCTTCACTGTAGGGATGGTATTGGCAAGGTGATGAGCGGTGCCTGGTGTCCTCCAAATATAACGCTTGGCATTCACACCAAAGAGTTCGATCTTTGTCTCATCAGACCAAAGGCAAACCATGGCAAACTCCAGGCGGGTTGCCATGTGCCTCTTACTAAGGACTGGCTTCTGTCTGGCTACTCTACCATACAGGCCTGATTGGTGGAGTCCTGCAGCGATGGTTGTCCTTCTGGAAGGTTCTCCTCTCTCCACAGAGAAACCCTGGAACTAACGCCCTTCTTCCCCGATCACACGGTTTAGAGAGATTCACTGGTACTGCCTCGTCTCAAACAGGTGACAAGTTGAGACAGTTTTGAATTTGAGCGCCTTTAACACTTTCTAACCGCAAATGTGAAGAAATTGTGAGCAAGAAAAGAAACCGGCTCAACCCAAAAACTGTTGAATAAATGATGTACCATAATAAAAACCTTTGAGTGTTCCCCATCCCCCCCGCCATAGTTACACAAGCACACCCAACCTATGCCATATTTCCAAGCATTCTCTCCTCAATAACACAATACACACATTCATCATCTTTATTTGTAAATAGAACATGATATAGATAAAAATTTTCAAAGCAAGGATACTTTAAATCCAAGGGTAATCAAAGCAAAGACGCTTCAGAACAAAAGGTGTTTTCTACAGTCTCTCCAACACTGGAGAGAGAGCGAGAGCGAGAGCGAGAGCGAGTATATAATTAAAAGCCTCCTGTCCACCAACCAGCCTGCCTAATTTGACTGCAGGTCACTGTAACTGAAGCTTTGAGTAATGAACCCATTTTTGAAACAATTGGCTAATCTGTACCCTTCCCCAGATATGTGCCTCAAGACAATCCTGTCTCAGACAATTCCTTCAACTTCATGCTTGTTTTGTGGTCTGACATGCACTGTTAACTGTGGGACCTTATATAGACAGGTGTGTGCCTTTCCAAATCATGTCCAATCAACTGAATTTACCACAGGTGGACTCCAATTAAGCTGCAGAAACATCTCAATATGATCAGTGGAAACAGAATGCACCTGAGCTCAATTTTGAGCTTGATCGCAAAGGCTGTGAATACTTATGTACAAGTGATTTCTTCGTTTTTTATTTTTAATAAATTAGTAAAAATCTCAAACAAACTTTTTTTAAGTTGTCATTATGGGGTATTATGTATACAATTTCGAGAAAAAGCGCTGAATACTTTCTGTATGCACTGTAATTGCTCATGTGAAAGTTTTGCTCTGGGGGACAGCGAGCCAATCTCAATGAGGATAACGAGAATGCATCAAAAAATACCAGGTGTAACCCGAAGGCAAGATCACCGGATACAGATTGCAGTTTAATACCAGGTGTAAATGAGGTGTCAGATTTTGAGAGAACGTTTGAAGGTGATCAGGGGAAACACTGAGCTGATAAAAATGTCACCACCATCTCCTCTAACTTATAATTGTACGTTTTGCACTTCTATCTTTTGTTTCTGATGTTATGATAGTGCATGGCAACTCCCACCTTGGATTCATCATTCCATAGATTTGATATCCTCTACCAATTATCCAATTGACAATTGCACCTATACTCAAGGCTGATTATTTATGCATTACAAATCGGTGAGCTCCAGTCCCCTTTTTTCTTCCTTTGTACATAATATAGCTTCTTTAGCCATGCGTACAAGTAGAGCAAATGTGAATGAATATGTGACAGAATTTTACATGTCACCTCTTACAAGGTGTTCCATTGATTTTCCAAAACAGCCTCTAAAGGAATGAGCTACATATAAGGAATGTCATCATGTCCTTACTGGAGCTCTTCTAGGTGACTACAGCTGTTCAAAGCCTCCAGTAGCTTGTCTGATTCATCGCTTATAAGGTTCTCAGAGAGACTGGAAGACACACACAAACACAGACATTAAATGTAAAAGATGTTTCTGTTTTGTCTCAGGCAGCATCCATTGCTGTCTGCCACAGTGTCTTCTGATACTACCACTGGGTGGTGCTAAAGTCAGGATTGTTCAGAAATTCTCTACATAGTGACTTTATTAGGAGCCAGGAAGCAATTTACAGCCACAGGACACTGTACAAGATATGTAATACAGCATGTAATAAATAATTACAACCACAGTTTTAGCTAATGAAGCCCATCAGGCTTTGTGGCTGTCAGTCCCTCACTTGGAAAGTAAGAACCAGCTGCCAAATGGAAACAGCTGATCACATAAAGAAGGTGATGACAGTCCAACAAAATGGTCAGCATGTTTTGAGTGAATGTCACTTTGCACCCTATCAAAGGGTTCATCTACCCTTTTGTTGCCAACAGGGCCTTCCTTCCTACCTGACCTTCCTGAGCTCCGTTCAGACAGGAAGGACTCTGGTCAGCTGCTCTATTCCTCTATCAGCCATCCTCCAGCCCGAAATGACACGAGGAGCAACAGATGATCCAGCATCACCGATGGCAATGTTTCTTTTATGACGGACTAAAATAAGGTTTATAACATTTGTTTTATGTGCAGCCATGTGTACTTTATACAGTGGAGAAGAACTCACTCTCTCTTCCATTCGTGTGAGTCCCTCCATGGTAGTGAGGAGATCTAATAAACCATTTGCTCCTGATTGCCCCGGTGCTGTGGAAATCTTGTTTAGCCTGGCAAAAGCAAACACACACACAAAAAACAAATGGTCAAAAGTACGGTTCAACCAAGAAATCAGACCCCCTGTGAAACTGTAATATTGGTTCCAATGTATTAAGTTAAATCCATATAAATATAATATGATGATTGATGTATTTACAAACTGTATAAACAGCATTGGACAAACAAATTGTCAAATGTTCTGTTCAACCAAGTCATACTGGTTCCAATCAGTGGCAGACTGGCCATCAGGAGCACCGGGACATTTCCCGGTGGGCTGGCCACCGAAATGGCCATGAAAAATGGAGCGAGATCGACAGCCCAAGAGGAAAGGTGGAGCAGAGAGGGAGAGGCTTAAAAAGCTAAAAGCACTGGCCACAAATGCAGCTAAGTGCTGTAAAATAACTGACATGTTTGTCAGTAAGGGAGCAGGTAAGACATTAAACACTAGTGGTGACAACAGACGCACAATCATAGCCTATCCAGCACGACTAGCTTAATGAGGAGGTTAGTTCCACTTTGTGGAAGCTGATGGGGCTAAAACTGACTTAATAAAA